CAGCCGGCCCCCCTTCCTAGGATCCACAAGAAAAAACGGACTGGAGCGCCGGCCCGGGAGTCCACAGCCCCCTCCCGCACACCCTGCCCTGAGCTGGTGTGGTGCCCCTTGAGCATGAGGCTGGCAGGGGGACGAATCCCCTGGACCCTGGCGCAGACCCTCGGGGGATCCCAAGCAGCCTAAGAGCCGGCAGCAACTCAGCGTGTCTTGGGGTCGGAACAGGACCCGGGACCCTATCGAAACGTGCTTCCCCCACCGGGAACCCGGAAAGTCACAAGTAGACCGAACAGAGCTTTGTGGTCCTGACTACACTCTCCTCTCCTTCTGGGTCAAATTTTCAGAGCATCTTCCCAGTTCAGAAGAAATGTCAAGATTATAAGATTCTGGGCACCCAGGTGAGGACACATAAGTTTGCAGGAGATAACAGATACAATGTATGTTCAAATCCCCGCTCCATCACTTACCAGCTGTGCGGCCCTGCCTGAGTTACTTAACCTCTCTGGGCCTCAGGCTTCGCATCTGTTTTGAGGGTTCAGTGAAATGAAGGGTGCAAATGCCTGGTTAGTGGTAGGAACTCCGTAAACGTTTGTGGGATGAGTCTTGAAGAGCTGCAGACACCTGCAGTGACCCAGCTGATGTTGAAGTCAAACCTGGAGAGGGAGGAGGGAGACTCGCTTCTCCTGGTGGCAAACATCTGTGCTCCTGCCTCACTTCAGAGTGGGTAAAGGAAGATGAGCTACAATTGTAGTTAGCGGTAGTTAAACTGGAGCAGAAGAGGCCAGCGACTGTGGGGCGGGTGTGTGGTGGGGGAGTAATCAAGACAGGCTGTGGAATCTCCTTCTGAGGGGAGGGGAGAGCCTGGCTGCTGAGCTGGGGCACAGGGTCCTTTACACGACTGGGGGACGGACGGAGGGGCCCTGGGAGTGCTGGATGGCCAGGGGACAGACAGTTGGATAGCCAGAGGAAGAGGGGCTCACCCAGCCAGCCTTGCCAAGTTCGCAGGAGGCCAAGAGCCATTTGCGAGTTGGTCCCTCCTGGGTCCAATCCCTCTCCACTCTGCCCTGAGCCTTCCCTGTGTCTAACCATCCCTTGGCTCTGCTTTGCGCCTAATCAAACAGCCCAAATGCCGAAAACTTGAGTGTTTATTTAATTTTTTTTTTACACACTTGCATAACTCCCTGACAAGCCAGGCCAGGCATTGGGCTTTTGTTTGGTTTTATTTTGTTGCATTTAGGGAAAAAAAGAGGGAAAGCGAGAGAGAGAGAGAGAGAGAGAGAGAGAGAGAGAGAGAGAGAGAGAGGAGAGAGAAGAGAGAAGAAATAACACAAACCACGCCGCCCTAGAAGTGTCTTGGGCCAGGCAGTGGGCTCGGGTTTCCTGCCCGAGGAAAAGTCTGTGGGAGATGAGGGGCCTCGCTACTAGGCTAAGGAATGAGTGAGAAAGTGGAGAAAACCACCTGGGTCCAAGCAGATAGGGAATTAGAACCGTGTGACCGTACCGGGTGGATAATAAATAAAGAGCATTGCTTGCGCATCTAATATATGCCAAACATTGTGCTTTGCATATCTATTCTGTTACCTAATTTTGCAGCCATCTTAATATTTTTCTTTCCTTTTTCCTCCCCCAGCCATTTTTTTCTGGAACATGGAATGCTGAGCCTCTAAGACATCACGTGAAGCCCGCAGAGGTGTGTAACCCATGAAGTGGCTGGGCCAGGTCAGGGTACGCCAAGCAATTTATAGTTTCTTCAACACAGTTGTGTTGCCCTGAGTTGGTGCCTACTGTTAATTCTGCTTAGAAATGTCTTCTCCCCTGACTGTCCTCTCGTCATCCTTCAAAACACCCACATGAAGTTTTACCTGCCATCTCACCAGTCAGCCTATGCAACTCCTACAGACCTATACATCGCCATTGGCCTCTGAGTGTTTCTTCTGCTGTGCTGTAAGTTCCTGAAGGGCAGGAACTGAGTCCGCTTTATCGTCATGACGTCGGCCCCAGGGACATGGGTAATCGATATTTTGTGAAATGAACCCCTTGCTTCCAGCACTGTAACTTGTGTGGTCCTGCGGACTTGCCTGGATGTTGTCCTACGTTACTATCTTGACTCACCGAAGCCTAGATCATGACTCTTAGAAGTTCAAAAGTCAGTGGATTCAGGCCACCATAATAGCTCCTAGAGATTGGCAAACTTCCTCATACTCTTGTGTCATCCTTTACCAGGCAAGGACTATTTACCACCTGCACTGTCGTGTATCAACGATGCTTTCAGTTACAAGCAAAAGAAGACCAAAATAGCTTAAGCAATAGAGATTTACTTTCTCATGTGTCAAAAAGGGCTAGTGTAGGAATGACCAGGAGCTCAGTAATCCCATTAACAATCAGGTTCAGAGCCAGGGGTGTACCTCAGTGGCGGAGCACTTGCTCAGTATAGGTGAAGCCCTGATTTTGATGCCCAGCACCTCAAAATAACAGTAATAATAATTGGGTCATTTCCTACACCCTCGTTCGGTCATCCTCAGTGTGTTAGCTACTGCTTTCATGAGCACGAGATGCCTGCAATAGCTCCAGGTGCCACAGTGAGCCCACTGAGCCCACCAACAACTTTCTCTCTCTGTCCCTCTCTGCCCCCTCCACCCCCATGGAGTCTCACTGTGTTGGCCCAGGTTGGTCTCAAACTCCTGGGCTGGAATGGTCCTTATGCCTTCAGCTCCTAAGTAGCTGGGAGTATAGGCACACTCTGCAATGTCCAGCTAGTTGTCTCTTTTAAAGAATTGGGAGGTTATATGCCCAACAACAAGCTAATCCCACACAGGGGGGGTGGTGCCACTAAAATTAGTTTAGACCAGGCAGGGCATGCCTGAGTTACCTGAGGGAGGGTGTTCATAGACAAAAGCAGAACTCTGTTAGCACTGAGGAGCTCTGTGACCGTTACCGTTACACTAGGAAGCCTGCAGATTTACCTGCTGTGACCCCTCAAGCCACGAAGGCCGCAGCCTCCTCACTCACTCCAGGTCCTCATCAAGACAGCTGAGATGGCCCAGACTGAGTCTGCCAATTTCTTGCCCTAAAACTAAGCTTTTTTTTTTTTTTTTTTT